TCCCTAACGGTCTGGGATTCTGGGATTCTGTGATTTGTCCCCTTCCCTTCTGCAGTGCTTCAGCTCCGTCGAGCTTTTCACCATCCACAACCTGAGCGAGGGCTCCGCCGTGGGGCGCAGCGAGTTCAAGGAGTTCTGCCCCACCATCCTGCAGCAGCTGGAGTCGGGGGCCTGCGCCGCCGAAAACCTGGAGAACGAGGAAAACGAGCAGACGGAGGAGAGCAGACCCAGCTCGGCCGAGAGTAAGGGGGGATTTGGGGAGGGCACGGAGATATGAGGCACCCCAGGACAGCCCGTTCCTGTTGCCGGCAGAGAGCAGAGGAGGCAGCTTGCCCAAGGAGTCCTGATGGGTTTTCCTTGGTGTGGTTCATGCCGTGGGCTTGCAGCCTGGTTTTTTTTTCCCCATCACACATGCCACAGGTCAGAGCTGTGCTGGTATCACGGCTCTCTGGGGTAGCTGGATGATGGGGGGACCTTGCTGCGAGTCCCCGTGGGTGGGAAGAGGTGGCTTGGCACATTTTGGGACCTCTGTGCATCCAAATCCTGATGATGCCCAAGGCCTTGGGAAATCCTCTTCTAAGTAACCTGGGGGCTTCATTTCCACTGTCAAAAATGATGGGGTATAGACCCAGAGCCGTCCCTTTCCGGACCCGGGGTTTTGGGGTCCTCCCCATCTCCCCACCCCGAGAGCCTCGGTAATGTCTGGCCCTCGTTTCTTCTCGTTCCGCAGTGTGGGGCTTTGGTTTTCTCAGTGTGTCGATGATTAACGTGGCCTCCCTGCTCGGAGTCCTCATCGTACCGTGTACCCAGAAGGCCTTTTTCAGCCGGGTCCTCACGTTTTTCATCGCGCTCTCCATCGGCACGCTGCTCTCTAACGCGCTCTTCCAGCTCATCCCAGAGGTGCAGTAGAAAGTCCCTGCCTCTCCCCGGGCGCCCTCTCTGCCTCCACCCTGCCGAATCGACCCGATCCTCCGTCACCCGAGGCTCAGGGCTTGTCTCAGGGGTTGCACAGGGCTTTTTCTCACCCCTCCGAGCACTGGGAAACCCTCTTGATGGGGAGGCTGCGTCCTCCGGCCCTGCTGGTCCTTGCGATGCTGAGGTGCAGGAAGGTGCTGGGAGAAGCCAATTGCTCCTGGCCATGGGCTGTGTCTGCTTCCTGAGGGATGATTATCCCCACAGAGGGATGCTCATCCCGTGGAAGGATTTTAATCCATGGGAGGGATGCTTATCCCATAGAAGGATTTTATCCCATGGAGGGATGCTCATCCCATGGAAGGGTTTTATCCTATAGTGGAATGCTTATCCTGTGGTGGCATTTTAATCCATGGAGGGATGCTTATCCCATAGAGGGATCCTTATTCCGTGGAAGGATTTTAATCCATGGAGGGATGCTTATCCCATGGAAGGATTTTATCCCATAGAGGGATGTTCATCCCATGGAAGGATTTTAATCCATGGAGGGATGCTTATCCCGTGAAAGGATTTTATCCCATGGAAGGATTTTAATCCATGGAGGGATGCTTATCCCATAGAGGGATGCTTATCCCATGGAAGGATTTTAATCCATGGAGGGATGTTCATCCCATGGAAGGATTTTAATCCATGGAGGGATGCTTATCCCGTGAAAGGATTTTATCCCATGGAAGGATTTTAATCCATGGAGGGATGTTTATCCCATGTTTATCCTGCCCGGCTCTGCTGAGACGTAGCAGCACTCATGGCATTAACCAGCTGGAAAAACCTGCAAGGCAAAGGAAAGCTCGGGGTGTAAAAGCCTACCCAAACAGCATTTTAACAAGCATTTTAATTGCCTTTTTTCTTTAATTTCTGCCCTGATTTACAAGGCTGACGTCCCCACAAGGCTTGTGTGAGGTTTCCCGGTGCTCAGACGGGACCGACAGACGTACCGCAAATTAATTGTGTGGTAATTGCACGGTTCTGGAGTTGAAATAAACGCCCCCGTGCGCTTCAGATTGGACCCCTTCGAAACGCATGGGCTTCCTGGAGTATTTGACGAGCTGGATCCGCACTCCTGCACATCCAGCCTTAAAACCCTGCGTTGAAGGTGCAGAGCACAGCACCCTTTGGATTTTGCCCCCGCAGCGTCGCCCGCTTTGCTTCGGGGCAGCAAACACCCGATGTGTGTTGGCGCGGGGGTGTTTTTTCACGGCTCCTTTTCAACTCCAGAACCGTGACTTTTATTTGCCACGATAAAGCCAAGCGCCTGCGTTTCCTGCTCTGGCAGGAGCCGAAATGCTGTACGCACGCTCCGTGCTCGCCGGAGCATCCCCCCCGTGGTTTGGGACCGGGTTGGGATGCAGGAGGAGCGCGGAGCGTACGAGATGCTCGGGGGACCGTGGTGCTCAGTGGCTCTGTGCTAAAAGAGAGCTGCTTGCTCCCTCCTACCCATCCCAAATTGCTGTTTCCAGAGCCGCTCAGCGCCAGGTTCACCCCTCAGACCGGATGAACAAGCAATCACTAATGAATGTCCTCTTCTCTCCCCCCTCTCTCCTCCCTTCTCTCTCTTTCCTTTCGGCGTGGATTCCTTCCCCTCCCCTTCCCTCCCCTCCCCTTCCCCACGTTGATCTCCCACCCCTCTCCTCATCCCCCCGGGGTGGGTTTGGGACGCACGCCGCAGTCTGGGGGTACGGTTTCCTCTGCGTCACCGTCATCTCCCTCTGCTCGCTGGTGGGAGCCAGCGTGGTGCCCTTCATGAAGAAGACCTTTTACAAGCGGCTGCTCCTCTACTTCATAGCTCTGGCGATTGGAACTCTCTACTCCAACGCCCTCTTCCAGCTCATTCCCGAGGTAGGGTGAGGGCGGCCGCGTCGCTCCTTTTCTCTTGTGGTTTGTTTTTTGGGGGCTGTTTCTCTCCGGATGGAGAAGGGGAAAGGCATCACCGCAGGGGAGCCAAAAGCGAGGTAGGGAGGCTGGAAGCCCCTCAGGAGCTGGTGTTTCGTCCCTTTTCGGAAGGGGGTCGCTCCAGGGACACGTGTGGTCTGCTTCAAGCAGAGAAGCGCTGGGTTTTGCCCTTTTCTCACCCTGTAGAGATGTTGCCTTTGTAATAAGAGAGAGCAGAGGCTTTCAGAGCCTGCATTTAGCATCCCTGCCCCAGTGCAGGACGCTGATCCCACATTTTGGGGCTCAGCTGGGGGAATGAGGGAGATTCAAGGTGCATGAAGGTGTTTTCTGAGCGTGCCCCCAAAACAAGTGCATAGAGAGAGGCCAGAAAGCAGCAGCGTTGCCCCAGAGGTGCCAGGGCAGAGGCAGACGTTGTCCCTCAGCCCTGTCCCTCGTCCCCTCTGGCCTGCAGGCGTTCGGATTCAACCCCCAGGAGGATTATTATGTCTCCAAATCCGCCGTGGTGTTCGGGGGCTTCTACCTCTTCTTCTTCACCGAGAAGGTGCTGAAGATGCTGCTGAAGCAGAAGGACCAGGTGAGGCTCAGCAGGGGCTGCTTGGGGGGAGCAGCAGCAAGGATGGGGGTCATTGACACCCATGGACCCCCCCCCCATGTCCCACAGCATCACCACGGGCACAGCCACTACGGCCCCGAGGCTCTGCCGTCCAAAAAGGACCAGGAGGAGGGGGTGACGGAGAAGCTGCAGAATGGTGACCTGGACCATATGATCCCGCACAGAACCAGCGAGATGGAGTGCAAGGCCCCCGCTGGTGACGAGAAGGTGGTGGTGGGATCCCTCTCCGTCCAGGTTAGTGGGTCCATAACCTGTCCGTGATAAGAAAACAGCGGTTTGTGAGCCCAAAATGGGGGTGGGTTCCCCTGGCTGGTGGAGGGGGTGGTGATATCCCACCTCAAAACCATCTGGGTGCCCTGTGGACCCATATAGGTTGGGGACTGAGCTGTTGGGTGGCAGCAGATGCCCATGAGCCAGCAATG